GCTGAAGAAAAAAAAATCCAGTTTGTGCCTGCTCTGAGACTGCTTTCGCAACTCAAACCAAGGCAGGGTAAAGCGGGACGGCCGGGAGTTCCCCTTCCACAGCTCATTCCTGGCCTGTGGTTCAGACTCCTGGATCCTGTCATAATTTGACTACCAGTAATAATAATAATGCAAGGATCATGAGTCAGTACCCGGGCTGTCAAACTGCTCGTGCCTCCCTCTGCCGGCCAAGTCCCGCAGACCCCGGGGGGCTCGCCAGCTGGAGGCGGCCGGCAGCAGAAGTGGTGTCGGCCCGTGCTTTTGGTCTTGAAAGGTTTGATCCTTGCTGAAGACCCTGGCGTCAGTCTGCATGCGACGTCACGGGTATGATGAACAGAGCAGCAAACTGCGCTTGCTCAGGCTCCTTAAGAAAACAGAGCAGAGGAATGAATGTCAGGGAACTGCCGGTAAAAAACGTGAGTGGCTATAGCATGAATGAGTGCAAGGAGGAGGAGGAAAAGTAGGTTCAACAAGAATAAAAAGGGAAATCCTTCCCTCATATGAGTCCAAGAGCCTCACAGAGGTATTTGCGTATCAACTAAATGATGCTGTGACATTGCCATTAAATAGCAGGAAAAGCAACACTTAGTTAATATTACTCACAGAAAGAAAAACTCCTGAAAAGCAGGGAGTGGAAAACAGTTCTGGGTGTCTTTTGGGAGAAAAAAAGCACCAAGCCCCACTCAGACTGCAATTATTAACAGTGTTCGCCATTTGTTTGGGCAACAGCAGAGCTGGATCTGCTCATACAAACTAGAAAGCCAAAATTAATCCACACTTTCGAAAGAAGTTGGACAAGAACATCAATACTATGAACAAAAATTTACTGAAAATGGCTCCAAAAGCAGCAAAAAGAAAGCAGTGAGACAACCTCAAAACTTCAAAGGCAGAAAGCAAGAAGATTTGGGAGAGAAAGGAACAGAAAAAAACAGTAACATCGTTAACAGTAACAGCAGAAACGGGCGAATTAGGTCTTTACCTAAACTAGATGCCTCTTTGGTCAAAGAACAAAACTTGCGTGTGCTCAAAGGGAAAGTAGAAGTTAGTCCAGCGTTTCTAGACTGCAGAAAGACTGCAGTAACTGTCAGGTGTCACTTAGAAAGTGCATTTATTCTGTGCGGCTATCAAAACGAGCATTCGTCGAGGTTCAGGAGCATGCAAAAGCCAGCAGTTGTGGCGATGCAGACAGGAGCACCCGTGCCCGAGGAGAGGTGCCTCCGCGTCCCTCGGGAGACATCGCAGGAAAAGGCCGTGTGCCCTCGCACTCCACGTGCAACTTGATCAGCTGAAGGTTACCGCCACAGGGCTAGGACGAGCTGCAGCAAAGAATGAAAAATGCCAAAGGGGAAGCCGTGGTGTTTTTCCTTAGGTGACACACAAGTCACAGAACCATTTACACAGCTCAAATAAACACTGAAACATGATGAAGCTGCAGCAGTGGGAAGGCAATGGGAGCTTTTCCTAGGGAACTACGAGTGCCTTCAAATCCCACCAGCTGACACAATTTGACTATCTTCAGACCAGGATTGGAGCCAACGCCCCCGTGAACACAGGATGGAGATGCCTGCTGGACCTGAGCCACAGGTCGCTGGTTCAGGGTGCACGACCTTCTCGGGTGACCCTTGCTGGTGGCCCTGTAAGATCGAGGCCATGTTTGTAAGATGCGGAAGTGATGATACTGGAATTTCTGCAGTTTAATTAACTGCTAGAATGACTTGGGGTAGCTGTGATGTCTCCATAAAATCACACAATGCACGTATGTATGTTAGAGTATCTGCATATATTTATGTTTACTAATACTGTTTTTAGGATGCTAAATCCCTCATCCGGTCAGATAGGTGTTGTCATTTGAAACTTTGAAGTATAAAACAAATCCTCTTTGTAATTTTATGGATAAATATGGATAAAATAAACCATAAGGTCTGCTTATGGACCTTGCCCAAAACCACAGGTTCAGTCTAAGCATCACTTTGGCCCTTGCATTAGACTGGCCAATGCAATACACACGTTTACATCATCAGCCATGGCTATATGGGTCCCTTCTTCCCCTTCACATCCCCTGTCACGTTAAGGTGGGCTTTGCCTCAGAGAATAACAAGAGACTTGACTCACTGGAGCCTCGTGCGCAGGGTCTGGCCCACGTCCATTGCTATGTGACCCTGCACATGGGCGCTTCGTGCATATGCGGGGAGCTCCAAACATACTGATTGATTGCAGACCTTTGCCTCCCCCAGTGGAAACCTGGGTTGTTTGAACCCTTCCTTTAAATATCCACTATATTGTTTCAGGTGGCCAAAGTTTTATTTTGCTTCTCTAGTAAATATCTTCCAGCTCCTAAATGAGAACTTAGGGAAAACTGCTCCCAAAATGCAGTTTAAAAGCCATCCTGCAGAAACCTTATGTTCCTCAGCCTAAATCCAGCCTTCAGTATGTCTTGAGTTATGAGGTTGTCCAGACCACTATTAGAGGAACAGCAGAATTTACACCAAAAGGCATAAACAAGTCAACAATAAAAATAACCATTTATCTCTCCTTTCTCCCCAGTGTCATACTCCAAAGGTCGCTGTGTTCTCTCATTGAAGCAGAGCTCTATAATGTGAGTTTTGACACTTTGGGCTCAATCCCAGAGTTCTTACTCACTTTACTCAGAGTAACTTTGGTGGATTTTTAGTTTGCATTTTTCCCTTGGAGAAGGTCTGAGAAATAAGCAGGGGCCTCAGAACGGAGCTCTCGGTGAGAGAAGGGCCCAGTTTATGAGGTGCAAGGAAGGGGCGCGTGCATGGCTGCCCGGTCAACCATGGGGGGACTCATTAGTAAAGCAGCAAACTCCCTGCCTCACTCGTCCTCTTTTGCAAAGGAGATTTGTTTGGTTACAAGTGTCTCACATCAGTACACCTAAAATGCAGGTTATGGGAGGACACATCTAGCTCTATGCTAGAGCTAGCTCTGTGCAGTCCTACACTCAGCAAGACCCAAATGGACCAGTTCCCCATGCTGCAAGAAGCTGGCTGCAGGTCCCAGGCCAGTTTATGAATGCAAACAATAGCCCAAGTCACCACGACACCATGTTTTACCAAGCTGCAGGGAAGGCCTCATTAACAGTCTAGAAATAGGTATGGCTCTTAGGAACATCAGGACAAACATCTCTTCCCCGATAGCCTCCCCTCGCAAAGCTTTCTGCAGGAGCCCAGCTGGCTCTTAAAGATGCCATTGCATGGGACAGCAACTGCCTTTCCTCTCGTTTCAGTGAACTCAGGCCACGCATCCTTCCCTAAGATTATGCTCCATAAATCAATCACTTCAATTTGGAGTCCTCCCATCTGTTGCCTGTCGCCGTCTACCTCGCTTGTTTGCCAGAGAAAGGAACATAAACTACAACCCCCAGAGCCTGATTTCACGTACTCCACAAGCATCTTACAGGGTTTGGTTTGGCCCAGCAGCTATTTGGGATTACCTGGGTATTTGGCATACGTGCCTCCCTCGGCACAGTCGCGCCTGCCCGTGGCTCGGGGCGCCTGGCTGCAGGCAGGCTTTGCAGGCTTCCCACAATCTGAGGCTAAAAAAAAAAGTAGTATCTGTCACTTCAGCCTCTCTGACCTCACGCTTCCAAATTGTGCGGTGTGTTTTGTCAATGTCCACCGTTGTTGAAAGCCCCTCTGGGCTCCTGCTGGGGACATTATTTCTCTCCAAGTTTTGCTGCACAACAGGGGACGTTTCCTGATTTTAAGGAGGGCTCACATCTATCATGCATAATCTGCAGCATTCCTAACAAAGGCCTTATTCCGCTTGCTTTTTACACAGAAATATTCACATTTGAAAATCCAACAGTCCTTCTGAGCGACCCGCGAGTGTTTTGAAATGCTCTAACACGCAGGAGAAAGAGAGAGGTGGCAAGTCACCCATGGACACCACTGTGCAAATTGCAAGTTCAATGCACAAACTGGAAAACAAGGTCTTTCTAAAAGTTTACTGAATGTTTGCTTGACCTTATTCCTAAAAAGCCATACCTCAGCTGTTGTATCACAAGACTGTTCAGATGTGTTCACCTATTTCCCTTCAAGTCACAGATCTCACTCAATTTATTCTCAGCTGGGCACTTTTTTTTTTTTTTTCCATTGAGTCTTTTTTGGTCAGCAGATGAACGTTTTACCACCTCTAGGTAGTTAGGTGACACCTACATTTCACTCCAGTTCCAGCAAAACTTATTTCAGCATCCAACGCAAAGCTCTTTCTTCTATTTTATAGCTGATGGCCAAGGGCTGCAGAGCAGCAGAAGGTCACCGGCTGGTTGCTCTACCTGGCCCATCTCTTCTACAATCATAGTGCACAACATGTAGAAAGATGCCTACTTTGATTTAAAGGCAGCCAAGTGACGGAGAACAATTTTACGCCTTTCCTAGGACTAGAGGCTACATGCAGGAGGCAGTTCCCCTGGTCAGAGGCGCCACGATAGGCTCGTCGTTCCAGATACATTCTCTGCTCACCCCAGGTGGCCTCTTCTCTTAATGCATCCACATAGCTTCCTGCTCCATTATCCCAGGCACATAATGCCAGTTCTCCGAGGAGGACGTGGGCTTAAGCTGGCTTGTTCCTGCGTAGTCTCAAGCGAAAGGGGAGCAGACCGAGCACCTCTCCGCAGAGGCACGTTGGTGTTGACGTATCGTAGGAGAGCCATTTTATGTTTGTCTCTCCAGCTCATCTAACGCCCCCCTTTTTCCCTTTTTAAATGCAGAAGTCACACTGTTTTTAAGTCCTTAACACCATAATTAATACAAATAAATAAAAAACAAGCAGTTGCCGTTTATGAGAAAGCTTCCAAACAAAGCAAGAACCTGGCCCCTCAAGTCCAACTGAGCAAAACACTCACTGATCATGCATGCACACACATATATTTTTATATACATATATAAACACATCACACACTGATTGATGAACCATAAAATGAATTATAAAATGGAGACTGGAGACTCACTGACTTAGAACGCTATGCATACATCAAAAAATTGATAGATGCATTTATCAGTAACTATAAAAAAAATTAACTTCACCTTAAGGCAGGCTTTTGGCTGCAAAAAACTTAATAACATCATCTCTTTTTCTGCCACACTCAATTATATTGATCATTATTTTAATACACTCTGAAGGATTGGGAGAGATCATAGGGCAAGAGTTTGAAGATTTTACTCCTATTTTTGCCACTGATGGATAGTGTTAACAGCCGAGGCAAGTCGGATTTCTGCTATGTTTCACAGTTTCCCCTTTGTAAGTGGGGATAATATTTCTTACAAGTTTTTGTAAAGCAGCTTGAGATCTTGGGGAGAAAGCAGCTATTT